AAAGCTATGAAAAAATCCAGATGGGAGTTATTGAGGACCTTAATATTATTGGATCATATTTAGAATTTGTGTAGAAAGTGAGGTCAGGAGCTTGGACCAGGGTGAGGATGAAGAATTTGTTGAAGATGTCTTCCCATACGGTGTGTAAACCTACCACTGACACCACATTTGAGCCTTTGATATTTCCTTTAATAATAACAATAGCATTTATATAATACTTTAAACTTTGCAAAGTGCTTTACAGATATCTCATTCAAACCTCACTGCAACCCTTGAAGGTAAGTGTTTATTATTCTCATTTTACAGATGGGGAAATGAGGGAGATAGAGGTGAAGTGGCTTACCCAGATTGTTAAGTGATAGCCAATAACTGGTTGAGATCAAATTTGTAAGTTCTTCTAGACTTCAAATCCCATGCTCTATCCACTGCTACCACCTAGCTGCCACCTTTAGAGGGTGTGGAAACAGGGGCAAGAATTTTCACATAGTGAATTCTGAATCACAGGGTGTAGAAGAGGTAGGAATTTGCTAGTCATAGGATGGGGATGTACTATTTAACTGTTCTCCCACCCTCAAGGGGAGGTATTAATTATTATTATTTTCTCTCCCAAGCACCAGAGAACAAGGAAGAGATTGGGTCAGGTATCTGGGTCAGTAGATATCTGGTGATTAGTCCCCAGGGGCCTGACTAAACTCACATTCCCTGACAGTTCCTTGGTCTCATTAAGATAGCAGGTGATGAATAGTCTAAAGATACTCCCAGAGGGAAAATGTGTACTTGGCTCCTGGTTAGGCCTAGTGTCTGAAGCCTTCCCTACTCCTAGGTGAGGTTCCCAGCAGGTTCCTATTGCTGAAACATTAATTATGGAAGGTGGAAGCATTGTAGTTTATCTCTAATGGCTGGAAACAAGTAGGGGAGAGTAGGTAGTGTCTCCACATGTAGTAATATGTTCAAGCTTCCATGCCCCGTCCCTGGGCTCTTGATGGGTAACCCTGTTTTAGGGATACAGGGCAGAGAAGATGCAGGGTCCATATAGTTTCAGAAACAAATGCTTTCAAATCTGATTTTTGAGAGCTATAAGGTATAGTTTCATTTCTCCAAGACCACAGTGCTTTGCATGAAGGACGGAGTGCCTGGCCTGGAGTCAGAAAGATTCCTCTTCCTGAGTTCAAATCTGGCCTTAGACACTTATTAGCTGTGTGACCCTGGATAAGTCATTTAACCCTGTTTGTCTCAGTTTCCTCATCTGCAAAATAAGCTGGAGAAGGAAATGTCAAACCAGTCCAGTATCTTGGCTATGAAAACCTGAAATATGGTCACAAAGAGTCAGACACAACTGAAATGACTGAACAACAAAACAGTGATAGTGAAGGGAGTAGTAGGTACTGGGGCAGGTACCTTGGTGTTAATAAATAACCCCCTAATTTTATAAATGAGGGAACTAAGGTTCAGAAGTTAAATATCTCTTTTAATATTACACAGCTAGTAAAGCTAGCACAAGAATTTAGGTATTCTTATTTCTATCCTAGGGCCCTTTCCACTATATGTATCATGGTGCTTCTAGAACATTTCATTCCTTATGTTAGAAAGTAAGCTCTTGAAGAATAAGGATCATTTCCTTTTTTGTCTTTTCTCTCGTCTTTTCCCTGGCATTGTGACTGTTCACATAGGTGCTTAGTAACAGTTTAACTGATTCCTTGATGATACTGGATTTTCTAGATCAGTGGTGTCAAACTCAAACAGAAATGGAGCCAATAAATAAGCTGTTCAAAAGGATCCCTGTGGGCACATATTGACTTAAAAAACCATATATTAACATTATTTGTTTTATTGTATCTTTATTTTGTTAAATATTTCAGAGTTAATTTTAATCTGGTTTGGGCAGCACTGGGACTATTGGGCCAAGCCAGTGTGTTTGACACCTGTTCTAGATAAACAAAATTTACCAATTTAAGATTCTTTAGTCATGGGACCTGGGTTCAAATCCTCACTGTAAACGAAGGCAAGTCACTTAACATTGCAAGATAGGTATGATCTTATTTTACAAATGAGGAAACTGACCAGAGAGGTTACATTTCTGTTTTTAAGGTCATAGTTTATTTTCTATTTTAGGGACCTCTGTTTCCTCATCCATAAAATAAGAGGATTGACTGAATAGCCTTCTGGGCTTCAGCTATAAGAATCCTAAGCACTGGCCTTTCTGAAAACCATTTTTGATAAAAGAATCTTTCTAAAATATACACTTTTCTATATTTACTATAGAATACTGAATATGAGAGGAATCATGTGATATATATCTGGTCTTAAAGCCAGGAAGACCTGGGTTCACAGACACTGAATTGTTTAGATTCTTGCTTATTCTTCAAATATATTATTTGTTTAAGCTTATATATGCAAACTTATACATTGAAATATACTTTAAAATAAATCTAAGATGCTTTCAATTATGTGGAGAGGTCAAGAAATATGAGGACTGTGAAAAGGCTATTCCATTTGGAAATTAAGGGCAAGAGTAATCAACCTTTTAAGAAATTTTCCCCCTTGAAAAATATTTCTTTGCAATATGTGGGATTTCTTATGAAATTTATTTCCAGTCTTTTAGCTCTTTTCCTTCTAGCAGAGCTTCCCACCTACCACCACAATGTTCAACTTTCTTTGAACAAAAAATAAAGATTGCATGACTGGTTAAGTCACTTAACCTCTCACATAACCTCTAACAACTGTCTAAGAGTAAAGCTCAGTTTCCCAACCTGCACTGATAGGAGTTTCTTCATCTGGGAGATCCCTATTTCTGTGAAATCACAGGTCTAGTTTAGTTCCCTATACCAGTAAAATCATAGGCCCAGGTCCTTTCCTTATAGTGAACATAATTTAATTACTCACGTTCATACTGAGGTATGCTTGTCCGAATCTTAAGTGAGCTAGATTATTGATGCTTCTGTTTCTTCTTGAAAGAGCCAATAGCCACTCTCCTATGCCGGTATTAATGTATCCTGGGAAGAACTGAAGGGGAAACTAGATAATCAGGATCAGTGGTGATCAGATAACTTTGACACATAATTCACATATCACATTATTCAGATTCTGATTATGCTCTGGTCTGAGGGTAACATTATTCTATGTGGAGGTAAAGTATTAAGGATTTTGTGATAGTCTTAGAACTTCTTTCATGCCCGAGTCCCAGACAGTTGAAGCTGACTAATCTTTTGAACAGCAAGGCATACATATGATTTGGTAAATTTCATGAATTGCTAGGAAATATTAATATTTAATAACTTTTACGTTTTAAAAATCCTGCAGAAGTGTTTTGGTCAAAGCTGCTTTTGATTCAGTTTTTGGATGACAAAGGAGATACAGATTCAGTGATGTGCCTGTGTTGACATGGAGATTTAATGACTGCATTTCGAATCTAGGCTTTGCTGTTTTAGTTTGTTGCTCAATCACTTTATTGTTCCTAAATATCTAATATCAAACAAAGGAAGTATGTGGCATTAAAAAGGGAAAACAAAAAGGTTTGCAAACTATCAGTATACGTCTGATTAGAAAAAATCATTACCTTTTCATAAGAAAATAAATATTTTGGCGATTATAATTTTAGGGCCTTATGTGACCATAGGTTTGTAAAAGGAGGGAGATTTCTACCCTGCTTTACAGATCAGGAAACTCAGGCACAAGGAAGTGGGGTCAATCACTCAGGGTCACACAGTAATTAAGTAGCAGAGACAGAATTTGAACCTAGATTCCCAATTCCAAATCAGATTCTCTTCCTGGTATAGTAGAAGTTGTGTTGTGGACTCCTTTGGCAGTTTGGAGAATGGGATGGACTATACTTAGAATAATTTTTTTTAAATGAATAAAATAAAATACAGAGCATTACTGTATTGAATTGTTATTGGGTTTTTTTCTTTTAAGTTCACAGACTCCAGATTAAGAACTCTTGTCTCAGAATTGATGGTTTGTGTTGATTTGAAAATTTTAAAACTCTAACTTAAAAGCACATGCAAGTCATGTCACTTAAAGCTTATTTAGACCACAGAGCAACAATGATCAGTTCTGTCTTTGGCGCAAGGTTCCTATAATGATTCTGTCTCTTTAAAAAAGATATGTTTTAGTGACTGTGAGAAATTCCCATTAATAACAACTGGACTCGTGTTATTTCAAATGTTTATTAAATAACTCATGTACAATCACTTGCATGCTGTTATAAAGCCTTTGTCTCAAAATGATTGCAAGGATTTTTAGAAATTCTTAATTCTCCAAAATGCCTTTAAATTTATAATGTGACTTATTTTAAAGAGGTAGAACAGTGTGCTGCTTCTTATATGAGAGATCTTGCCTTTTTATTGCATCCTGGGAATTGGCATTGGCTGGGTAGAATAATAAAAACTAATAATGAGGATAATAATAAAACATCTTGTTTACAAAGTACTTTACAAATGTTATCTCATTTGAGCCTTACAACAGCCCTAGGGAGGTAGGTGCTATTATTATCCTCATTTTGCAGATGAAGAAACTGAGGCAAACAGGTCAAGGGTCACACAGCTAATAAGTATCTGAGGCCAGATTTTAACTCAAGTCTTCCTAACTTGAGGTTCAACAATCTAACAAATCTGTCACCTAAGCTGTAGAACTCTCCCTTTTTACTTAGGGATTTTTTTGCGGAATCTCTGCCTTTTTTTTTTTCTGGTTCTGTTTTTGGCTGAGTTGAGTGAGTCTTAGTGAATATACATGTTCAAGGTTAACTCTGGGTTAAGAGATATACTTTTTTTCTTACTGTAAAGTATGATTGTTTGCATTTCAAATTCTGGTTTATTTTCTTTAGCTGAAGCTCCTATTACCTTTTGTTGAAGTATTTGAAATTGGTTTGGATTGCTTCAATCATTTAAGGGTTTATTTGCTCAGGTTTAGGACACAGTCTGTGATTAATATTTACTACTATACTTAATTTCATCCCCAAATATGAAGGCAGTTAATTGGATTCAAACAGCAAGTTACTTAGCTCCAGTTCTTTTTCTGCATTTTATTAAAAAACTCAAAAAACTAGAGGTCTAAGTAGGTTCTTTAGATCTGAAATCTTAGTCATTTCAATTTAAACAAACATTTATTAAGCATTTACCATATACAAGGCACTGAGGATGCAAAGACTAAAAGAAAAAGACACAATTCCTGTCCTGGAGGTGTTCACATTCTAAGGAAGTCAGGGTACAATAACAATGTAAACAGAGAAGCAAATACAATGCAATTTGAGAAAGGAAAAACCACTAACATCTGGCAAAAGTCAGGTAATGTTTCACAGAAGTGGCACCTGAGCTGAATCTTCGAGGAAGAGAAGGATTCTGAGAGGCACAGATGAGAAAGAAGAGTGCATTTCAAACACATGGGATGGTCTGGCTGAATGCACAGGGACAAGAGATTATTTAAATCACAGACTCTATGCTGGAATAGAACTTGGAGAGTTCTACCTGCTGTGAGTCCCTTACTTTATAGATGAGGAAAGTGAGGCCCAGAAAAGTTAAATGATTTGCCAGGTCACACAAGCTGGGCTTGAACCCTAGTCCACTGACTCTTCTTTTTACCAGGATGCTGAAGATAATGCTGTAATGCAATGTTGTGAACACCTATTAGTCCAACACCCTGCCTTCCCTCAAGGTGAGGAATAGCCATTTGAAATGTTCTGCTGGATTGTGAAGGGATGTAATAGGTTGAACTCAGATTGTGGAGGGCCTTACAAGTTGGAATAAGGAGCTTGCATTTTACCGTTGAGGCAAGAGGGAGACAAGTTTTTGAGCAGAGAACTGTCATGTCAGATTGTACCTTAAAAAGACTATTTCAAAGCTGCACGTAGGGCTGGCTGGGGAGGGAAGGACTGGAATTAGGGGCACCAGTTAGGTGGCTGCCACAGCACAACAGAGATGAGGGCCTGAAGAAGGGTAGTAACTATGTAAGTAAAGAGGTGATTGGTGTGACAAACTAGTCTTCTATAAAAACCCCACATAAATTTTTCAACATACTGATGAATCTCAAAATATAGTCATTACAGTAAAGAAATTTATTACTGGAATAATTTTTAAGCACTTCTTTGCCAGATTTTTTAGAAGCTGCCTCAACATGTAATTATCAATTCATGGTGATGGGAAAAAACTCTGCATTGTAAATGTCTGAACAAGGACAGATCTAAGCTATAATACTGTACTTAAGTAATCCTACTTAAATATAAAAATTCTGAGATGTTTTCATTGTCTACTAAGAATTACTTAAACAATCCACAATGTATGTATGGCAGGAGGCACCAAAACTGCTTTTCCCCACCTTTCTCCAAGAGGGCCTGCTTCCTGTCAGGAGTAGGAGGGAATCCCTTTCTTTTTGTTATCGTATCACTTCTAGCAAGGAAGCTAAATTTTAATTTTACTTGTGTTAAAAGTCTTAAATGATAACCGGTATGATTTTGCCTAGATTAATGAAAACATGAAAGTAGACTGACTGTACTTACCTAAGAACTGTCTGCATTATTCAGCAAAAAAAATGCCATTTGTTTTTAAGCAAGCTTTGTTGTTCATAATGAGAATGTAACTTAGCTGATGCCTACTCATACACAAATCATTGCTCCTTTTTTTCCAATAGTTTTAAAGTCCTATTAGGCTTGGATTGGTTCATAAGTGTTAATCAATATGATATTTGCATTTTTGATTATTACATCTTTGAAGTATATCAGGATTTTTTAAAGAAGTCATTTAAAAATATGTGGTTCAAAACAAAGTTTTATTTCTACAAGTATAAGGAGGGATAAGAAGACTAATAATTCAAATGTAGAATAACTACTTTTCATGCTGTCTTCAAGTCCTTGAATAACTTATTTGATTTAACACAAACTGAAACAGTATAAAACTGCATTTGGTATGATTTTCAGTTCCTTGGTGGCCTTGAAGTTTGTAAATATCCAGAATACTTTTCCCCTCGCTGTTCTGCAAGCTATCTTGAAAAGTCATAGTTAAAAGTCAGTCTCTTCGAGCAAAAAAGACATTATATCCGAGTTCTGTCATAGCCCCAACAAGTAGGGCCCATAAAGGAATAAAAACATACGACAGATTCATGTTAGTAAACTGTTCCAGTTTAGCACAGAGTGCAAGACAGAATGCCAACTTAAGTAACATTGCTATGAAGTACCAGACCTTTCTTTTCATATGTCGTGGTCCATTTCGATGGTTGTAACCAGATTTACAACGTCCAGCCATCTTCACAATCAGCATTACAAGGAGAATAGTATCGAATATCCAGACTGGTATGAATATAAGGAACCAGTTCCATGGTGCTTTTTCATCCAGTTTCAACACCAACATGATCAAGAAGAGTAATGTAAAAAGCCAAGTGAGCAGTACTCTCTGAGCCAGGGACATTCTCATTTAAACAGTTTAGAGAGATGGCTGCAGACAGTTGAAAAAATTAAATATACCCTACAGGGGAGAAAAAATAATTATTATTCAAATTTTTTTCATGATGCAGCAATATACTATCAGACATTTCTACTAGAGGTGTCTGACACACCTTATACTACAAGGACAAAACTAAACTCATCTATTTCTTAAACATCTGGCTCCCCTTCTAACTTTTTATTTGTCTCAACCATACCACTATTTTCAATGTTACTCAAGCTCAAAACTGTGGAGTCATTTTTGACTCTTCCTTTTCCATTACATTCTATATCCATACAATCAGTCACTATGTTTTACTGATTTTTCCTTCAAGTCAAGAAATATTTGAGTAGAAGACAAAACAGCTTCCTATAGAGCTTCAAAGAAAAATGTAAAATGATCACAAGCCCAAAAAGAGTTCTTGGAAGAGCTAGAAAAGGACTTTACAAATCAAATAAGAGAAGTTAAGGAAAAATATCGAAAAGAAATAAGAGTAATGCAAGAAAAGCAAGTAAATTACAAAAAGAAAGTCAACTAACTGGAAAAGAGACCCAAACACTTATTGGAGAAAATAACTTCTTAAGACTTAGAATTGGGCAAAGAAAAACTAATGAGATTAAAGGAGAGTTAATAATGTTGTAAGACATCAAGAAATAATAAAATAAAAAGAATGAAAAAACAGAAGAGAATGTGAAACATCTCAGAAAAACTGACCTGGAAAAGAGACTGAAGAGATAATATAAGAATTAATAATAATTTTAAAAAAATAGTTTACACACTACACTTCAAGAAACTATTGAGGAAAACTGCCCTGAAGTTCTAGAAAACTATAGGGTCAAACAGAAATTGAAAAAATCCTCTGACTACTGACTAAAAAAGACCTCAAAAAGAAAACTCACAAGAACAGTATAGATAAATTTCACTCCCAGGTAAAGCAGAAAGTATTATAAGCAACCATGAAGAAACAATTTAAATATCATGGAATTACAGTTAGGTTAACACAAGATTTAGCAGCTTATATAGTGAAAGACTGAATGTCTTGGAATAATATTCCAAAGAGCAAAGGAACTGATTTTACAACCAAGGATAACCTACCCACAAAGTTGAGTATAATCCTGCGAGGAAAAAAATATATATATTTAATGAATTAAAGGACTTTCAAATAAACTTGAGGAAAAGACCAATACTAAACAAAGACATCTGACTTACAAGAAATCAGAAGAAACATAAGAAGGTAAAAAAGACAGAGTAATTATAGGGCATTTACTAAGGTTAAACTGTCTACAATCAAAAGAGGTGTGAATGAATTGTTACAGTGGAGAGGACAGGGTAGAGGGCAGGTAGTCTGGGAAACTTATTCTCAGTGGAACTAGGTTAAAGAAAGTATAACATACATTTAGAAGCATATACAATTCTAAACTTGCAGAGAAACAGGAGGTCAAGAGGATAGGTCTGGATAAGGGAGGGACTCTTAAAAGGGTGTGTGGATTAAGAAACAGAAGGGCAAGGGGATAGATCGAAAAGGGACTTTTAGAAGGGTGTGTGGATTAGGGAGTCGGTGGTCAAAAGTAAATCACATTTCTCAGGAGGGAAAAGGTAACAAGAGATGGAGAAAGATAAACAGTGAAAAAAAACAGGATGGAGGGAATATACAACTACTAATTATAATTCTGAATGTGAATGGGATGAACTCACCCATAAAAGAGAAATGGATAAAAAAACTAGAACCTGACAATATATTGTTTATGAGAAACACATTAAAAAATAAGAGACACACAGAGTTAAAAATAAAGGATTACAGTAGAACTTATGTGTCAGCTGATGTAAAAAAAAAGTAGGGGTAGCAATCATGATCTCAGACAAAGTTACAGCTAAAACAGATTTAATTAAAAGATAATCAGGGAAACTATATTTTATTCAAAGTACCACAGATAATGAATATCAATGTCAATACTAAACATACACGTACCAAATGCAGTAGCATTCAAATTTGAAAAGGTAAATGAATTACAGGTGGAAATAGATAGCAAAACTGTAATAATGAGGGATTTTAACCTTCCCCTCTCAGAACTAGATAAATCTAACCCAAAAAATAAATAGGAAAGAAGTCAAGGAGAGGAACAGAATGGAAACAGAAAAGAATATACCTTTTTCGAGGCAGTACATGGCACCTTTAAAAAAAAACCCTGACCATATACTGTGCCATAAAAACTTTGTAATTAAGTGCAGAAAAATTAAATGCATCCTTTTCAGATCATAATGCAATAAAACTTACATTTAACAAGGGACAACAGAAACAGATTTAAAGTTAATTGGAGCCTCAATAACCTATCTTAAAGAATGGGTGGGCTAAAGAAAAAGTCATAGAAACAATAAATTTTATTAAAGAGAATGATAATGGGACAACATATCAAAACTTACTGGATACGGATCAGAGGAAAATTTATATCTTTAAATCCTTATAGAGATAGTGAACACAGTGAAATATAAAATTAATAATTTTGGTTACATTAAACTAAAAAGATTTTGTATAAATAAAACCAAAGTAGCCAAGATTAGAAAGAAAGCAGAAAACTGGGAAAAAATTTCACCAACAGTTTCCCAGATAAAGGACTTATATCTTAAATATATAGAGAACTTTGTCAAATGCATAAGAACATGAGCCATTCCCCAACTGATAAATGGTCAATATGCAGGTTTTGGAGGAAGAAATCAAAGTTATATACAGTCATATGAAAAAATTCTCTAAATTATTATTGATTAGAGAAATGCAAATTAAAACAACTTTGAGTTACTACTTCACACCTATCAGATTGGCTAAAAAGAAAGAAGAAAATGACCAACGGTGGAGGAGATACACTGCTGGTGGAACTGAACTGATCCAACCATTTTGTAGAGCAATCTAGAATTATGCCCAAAGAGTTATAAAACTGTGTATATACACTTTAGCCCAGCAATACCACTATTAGGTCTGTTTCCCAAGGTGATCAGGAGAAAAAGAAAATAACCTGTATCTTCTAAAATATTTATAGCAGTTCTCTTTGTAGTGGCAAGGAGCTGGAAATTGAGGGGATGGCCATCAACTGAGAAATGGCTCAATAAGTTGTGGTATATGAGTGTGATGGAATATTACTATGCTATCAGAAATGATGAGCAGGTTTATTTTAGGAAAATATGGGAAGATTTGCATGAAATAATGAAGAGTAAAACAATCAGAACCAGGAGAATGTTGTATATAGTAACAGCAGTATTGTTCGGAGTAAATGTGAATGACTAAATTAGTCTGAGTAATATGAATATTTAAATAAACCACAAAGGACCTATGAAGGAAGATGCTATCCACCTCCACGGAATGAATTGATATATGGAACTATGTGCTGTACAGTATATCTATGTGTGTGTGTGTGTGTGTGTGTGTGTGGGTGTATGTAGATAGATATAGATAAATATCTATATCTACATATCTGTGTCAAATGTTGGCCTTCTCTAGTGTAGGGTGGGAGGGAGGAAGGGAGGGAAAGCTTGGAACTCAAATGTAACAAAAAATACAAAGCACACTTCAAAATATTTCTTTTATTCATCCAATCTCACTGCTAATGTTATAGTCAAATACATTCATTACCTCATACCTAGATTACTGCAATATTCTATTTACCTGGTGTCAATTCTTCCAGATTATTCTGTTCACCAATACCAGCTCTTTTTAAATTACCGTGTTTAACATGTTACTTCCCTTCTCAAAAGCCTATAATGGCTCTGAAGGGCCTGTCGTGTGTTATACTGGAAAGCATGATAAACTTACTAGTCAGAGACCACAGAGCAATTTGGGCACAGCCCAAATTCCAGTTCTATTAATTAATATCTAGGTCCTTGGTCTAGTCACTTAAACTTTATAGGCCTCAGTTTCTTCATCTTAGAGGGTAACACCTGTAAGGTCTCTTCCAGATCTAAATCTATTTTCTTAAATCCAAACTCATCTTAGCCTTCCACAATTTGGATTTAACCTATATATTGATCAACCACCTCCCTTTTCCCAAATCTGAATCCTCCTGTCTATTTAATTCACTGAATTGAATAGACAGGACGATTCAGATTTGGAAAAAGAGGGAAGTGGTTGACACACAAGGTATTTTAAAAAATCTTAGGGTTGTTGCTTAAAAGTACACTAAGATTTTTGGCATACTAATAATTTATAGGTACATATTAATACGTGTATATATGTATGCACATATATGTGCATATGTCTGTCTATCTATCTATCTGCAATTGGGATCAATCAGAATAGGGACGCCATAATGAGCGAACTGAATTTGAATGAAGCTAAAGAGTCTAAGCAGCAGAGGTGAAGAGGGCACATTTCAGGCACAGGCAACGGCTTAGCCTAAGGCATGAAAATAGGAGAGAGAATGTCACAAAGAGGGAAAAGTACCCAGAAGGGTTCGGTTGTCAGGCAATGTATGAAGAAGAGTAGTTCTGCAATAAACTAGAGTCACTGTGCAGAGGGCAGAACTTTGTACTTTTTCTTAGAGGCAACTGAGAATGCTTGGAGTTTCCTGGATACAGAAGTAATATGGTCCAATCAGTACTTTAGGAATATCAATTTGGCAGCTGTGTGGAGGATGGTTGGGAATTAGGTAGGTCAGAAGAAATCTGACAGGTATTTTTGGAAGAAGGAAGACTAACAAGGATGCTTCTGAAGTAAGGTAGGGAAAAATTATGAGAGACCAGAGTTCTGTGAGTTCTGTGATTCGAGAGAAGGGGACTGACAGAAGATTATATTGTCAAGACAGAATCTACACGACTTAGCAACTGACTGATGGTCATGGAGAGGGAAGATGACTTCAGAATTGTAAATCTGGATGACTACATGGTCACTGCATCATAAACATTCCATGTAATTTCTCATCTTTTCTCAAGCAAATCTTCCCTCCTATCTAGAATGCCTTCTTATTCTCAAAATATTTTGAAAACTGCTTGTCTTTAAGGCTAGGGTTCCTCACACTATTTCTTCCAGAGAGCTTTCCCTCACTACTTGAGCTCAA